AAAAAAAAACAATGTGAAGTGTTTTTTTCCTTTACAAGACCTTGCTGTTGTTTTGTCATTATGTCACTAGTGTGAACCAGGCCTTGAACATATAATGATGATTATGGTTGGAAAATCAGGGCTTCACAGGACAGTGTCACATTCCAAGGCAAGAAATATGGTTTGCATTTTGCAACAAATTTATTTAGAGAATTATAATTGGAAAGTCAAATGAATGCAATTACAGTTACTATTACAAGAATGCTTCAGTGTAATAAAGAGCTTACAGTAAGTACAGTTGTTTTTAAGCACAGATGTCAGTTGGAAGTTTATGGTCTTGTTTCTGATGCATTTCTCATTGACTCTTCCCCCACCAAAATTTTTATTGAATAGCTCTTGTTTTTATTAGCATAATCTTATTTACAAGCTGAAATTTTTAACAAAAGGTCATTAATTAATACAGGCCAAAGAAAAGAAAACAATTATATGACTTCAGCTTTACATCTGCCTCTCAAAAACAACTGCGCTCTTAAAAGTTCCTTATTATTTATTAATACTGAAGCTAATCCTGACCATCACTCTGTATCCAGCTTTGCCAAAGTTCATCCACAGAGATCAAGTCATCATTTCCATGGAAGTGTGAGTGTCGTTCCTCATCAGTAACTTGTAGTTCATCTCGCATAAACTAATGATCAGAATTTTAAAAAAAATCAAGAATCTTAGAATTACAACAACGGTACTTTTCACATTAATAAGTTTATCCAAGGTGGAAGAAGGAAGCCAATAATAAGCAATTTCCACATTGCTTTGGGTGTCTCTGTGTCAAAAACAAGTCCTAGCACAAAACCATTCATATGAAAATGTCTTTCCCTTACAGGTTCATTTTCATGCAAATCAAACTCATTTTCAGATGAAAGGATTCGTTTTGAAACAGAGGCACAAGGTAAATTGGAAATGGCCTATTACATTGCATGTATATGTGATGATCATGCATTTGTGAGACAATACAGCAACCTAATGGTTATTGTTGTAGCTGTATCAAGAATCAAAGATCCAGCTGTGAGCCTTGGCCTATAGTGTCTTTGTGTCGTCTTCCTGTGTAAGGCACCTCACTCTCACAGTCCTGCCACTCTCCCCCCAGGTGTTAACATATAAGTGAATACTTGGAAATTAAAAACGCAACTCGTGAGTGATTTACATAGTGGGTGATTACTGTATCTGTTACTATCACTTTGCTAGCTCCGTGAGTGGGTAAGATGAACCAAATCCTGTGCTGTGGTTGGCTACCTGAGTGGGCAAGATGGTGCTATCTTGCCCGTTTGGGATTTCCCATTGTGTCCCGAAAGAAAAGTCTTCTTTATCCATGTAATAGATCCTTTATTGACCAAGCTTGTTTGGTCAAGATAGCTGGATATTGACCTCATTCTTTTTTGCGTGTTTATGGACCTTTACTCTGTCTATAAACACACAAAAAAGAACTTGGCCAATATCCAGCCATCTTGACCTCACGCTTGGTCAATAAACCATATTTCCTTATTCCTATCCAGGGGACAGATGACTAAATACTCCCTCAGAACCTGGAATAAAACACGCTCCAGAAAAACCAACATGGAACTTAAACTTATAGTCTTTCATCCAAGGTCTCCAACATAGAACTGGTTCACTTGGTGAATCATATAATTATATGAAATGTGTTATTAACCTAACCAAAATAATATCTTTAAATAGTGAAGTCAAAGAGTGTTTTCACTTGATTGTTAATTTAAGTAATTTGCATTTGCTTTATATAACTACGTTCAGCAACTGGCTTTAAAACTCACATGTTTTTATCATCAGAATTAAAACAAAAAAAACAGTCATGACTCTGTCGCACATTTTCCTACAACTTGCATCAGCTACACATAGTTGCTAGAAGTTTTCATTGGTTCAATGGATTGCTCATTGAGATTGCCCAGAGAGATTACTTTTTAATTTTGGTTTCAAGACTCTCAGCTGAACATTGCTCTATCCCAGCCTTCCCTTTCTTACTCATGAGATTTGCTCTCGGCACTCACCTCATTTGATTCACTCAAGTCAACCTTTCCATTCCTATCATCATCCAAATGAAAGTGTATTTTGGTGATTGCTTCAAGGTTCAACTTTTCCCTTTCTGTCAAATTTTCCAAACCTAAAACAAAAATCATACATTCAAGAAATGACTCACTTACATTGTATAATATAAGAAAAAGAAACAAATAATCAAAATTTGCTGGAATTGGGTAAATTATTAACATAGTATAAATATAATTCTTTATTATATGGCTAACTCTGTCAGCAGGCAGGATGAACCAAATCCAGCATTGTGATTGGTTACTTGAGCGAGCAAGCTGTCGCTAGGATCCTCAGCTGTGTCCCATAAGAAAATAGTGTTCTTTTTCCATATAATAAATCCTCTTTTGACAAAGCTTGTTTGGTCAACATGGCTTGATGTTGTCCCCATTCTTTTTTGCATGATTACAGGCTTGACTCCATCTCAGTCCATAAACATGCAAAAAAAGAACTTGGCCAATATCCAGTCATCTTGACTCATGCTTGGTCAATAGAGTGGTTTTACTTAACCCGTGAAATAGATAGTGGAATTGTACACGCCACAACTTTGTATTAGTTCCTACTATCCCCCTACAGTTAGTAATTCTTTTGTTTTCTAGTCTTTGTCTTTGTATACCACGCATATTGAATAGCTCTTGTTTTTATTAGCATAATCTTATTTACAAGCTGAAATTTTTAACAAAAGGTCATTAATTAATACAGGCCAAAGAAAAGAAAACAATTATATGACTTCAGCTTTACATCTGCCTCTCAAAAACAACTGCGCTCTTAAAAGTTCCTTATTATTTATTAATACTGAAGCTAATCCTGACCATCACTCTGTATCCAGCTTTGCCAAAGTTCATCCACAGAGATCAAGTCATCATTTCCATGGAAGTGTGAGTGTCGTTCCTCATCAGTAACTTGTAGTTCATCTCGCATAAACTAATGATCAGAATTTTAAAAAAATCAAGAATCTTAGTATTACAACAATGGTACTTTTCACATTAATAAGTTTATCCGAGGTGGAAGAAAGAAGCCAATAATAAGCAATTTCCACATTGCTTTGAGTGTCTCTGTGTCAAAAACAAGTCCTAGTGCAAAACCATTCATATGAAAATGCCTTTCCCTTACAGGTTCATTTTCATGCAAATCACACTCATTTTCATATGAAAGGACTCGTTTTGAAACAGAGGCACAAGGTAACTTGGAAATGGCCTATTACGTAGCATGTATATGTGATGATCATGCATTTGTGAGACAATACAGCAACCTAATGGTTATTGTTTTAGCTGTATTGAGAACCAAAGGTCCAGCTGTGAGCCTTGCCCTATAGTGTCTTTGTGTTGTCTTCTTGTGCAAGGCACCTCACTCTCACAGTCCTGCCACTCTCCCCCCAGGTGTTAACATATAAGTGAATACTTGGAAATTAAAAACGCAACTCGTGAGTGATTTACATAGTGGGTGATTACTGTATCTGTTACTATCACTTTGCTAGCTCCGTGAGTGGGTAAGATGAACCAAATCCTGTGCTGTGGTTGGCTACCTGAGTGGGCAAGATGGTGCTATCTTGCCCGTTTGGGATTTCCCATTGTGTCCCGAAAGAAAAGTCTTCTTTATCCATGTAATAGATCCTTTATTGACCAAGCTTGTTTGGTCAAGATAGCTGGATATTGACCTCATTCTTTTTTGCGTGTTTATGGACCTTTACTCTGTCTATAAACACACAAAAAAGAACTTGGCCAATATCCAGCCATCTTGACCTCACGCTTGGTCAATAAACCATATTTCCTTATTCCTATCCAGGGGACAGATGACTAAATACTCCCTCAGAACCTGGAATAAAACACGCTCCAGAAAAACCAACATGGAACTTAAACTTATAGTCTTTCATCCAAGGTCTCCAACATAGAACTGGTTCACTTGGTGAATCATATAATTATATGAAATGTGTTATTAACCTAACCAAAATAATATCTTTAAATAGTGAAGTCAAAGAGTGTTTTCACTTGATTGTTAATTTAAGTAATTTGCATTTGCTTTATATAACTACGTTCAGCAACTGGCTTTAAAACTCACATGTTTTTATCATCAGAATTAAAACAAAAAAAACAGTCATGACTCTGTCGCACATTTTCCTACAACTTGCATCAGCTACACATAGTTGCTAGAAGTTTTCATTGGTTCAATGGATTGCTCATTGAGATTGCCCAGAGAGATTACTTTTTAATTTTGGTTTCAAGACTCTCAGCTGAACATTGCTCTATCCCAGCCTTCCCTTTCTTACTCATGAGATTTGCTCTCGGCACTCACCTCATTTGATTCACTCAAGTCAACCTTTCCATTCCTATCATCATCCAAATGAAAGTGTATTTTGGTGATTGCTTCAAGGTTCAACTTTTCCCTTTCTGTCAAATTTTCCAAACCTAAAACAAAAATCATACATTCAAGAAATGACTCACTTACATTGTATAATATAAGAAAAAGAAACAAATAATCAAAATTTGCTGGAATTGGGTAAATTATTAACATAGTATAAATATAATTCTTTATTATATGGCTAACTCTGTCAGCAGGCAGGATGAACCAAATCCAGCATTGTGATTGGTTACTTGAGCGAGCAAGCTGTCGCTAGGATCCTCAGCTGTGTCCCATAAGAAAATAGTGTTCTTTTTCCATATAATAAATCCTCTTTTGACAAAGCTTGTTTGGTCAACATGGCTTGATGTTGTCCCCATTCTTTTTTGCATGATTACAGGCTTGACTCCATCTCAGTCCATAAACATGCAAAAAAAGAACTTGGCCAATATCCAGTCATCTTGACTCATGCTTGGTCAATAGAGTGGTTTTACTTAACCCGTGAAATAGATAGTGGAATTGTACACGCCACAACTTTGTATTAGTTCCTACTATCCCCCTACAGTTAGTAATTCTTTTGTTTTCTAGTCTTTGTCTTTGTATACCACGCACTAATACTAATTAGCAGAAAGTACTACACACTAACAAGTAGTTTCTGTTTCACGGGGTCAGTAAAATCACTCTAAAACCATATGTGTGCATTATTATTGACACTGAATGTCATGATGTTGTGATGTTTTCTATTCACATCACAACAATGCAAAATGTTAATATATAATAGCTGTTGACATTACAAATGTCAAAATAGTAGTTAGCCTTTTAAATTAATTCATAGTGTATATTGTTATTATTTTTTTCCTTAAACATCTCACGGGTCCAGAATCCTGAATCCTTAATTGGCTTAATATTATGCCAGGTACTTTTTCATGATACGGAGCCTGGGTTACGGAACACATATATACTCTTGTTAGAAACTTTAGGTTTTGGTTCACATTAATCTATGTAGGCTATGTAAAATGAAAAAAAAAAACACAACTCAGCAGTAAAAAGACATCAATTCAGTAATGAAAGCTATCAGCACAAAAAAAAACTGTTTTCCTTGCTCTTGCAATACCATATGATACAATACTTTATTTAACTTAACGCTGCCATTTAAATGGCTTCACTCAACATATTTTTCCAATTTCAAAATCTTTTGCTATTAGGTTTGGCATTTCCTGACTTAGGTTGGTCCACATCAAGAAAAATTTGTCCCTCAGAATTGACCTCGGCAACGTGTTTCTTGAAATGGTCCTCCCACTGGCAAATAACAGTTTTATACCCATGCAGCAGAGACAAAGTTAAATACATCCAGTTTACAACCTTTAGTCAGCCTAACATGTTTAATTATTTATTAACAACATCAGGAAAAACCAAGCCCAGAATACTAACAAGCCTCTTTTTGTATCTGCAATTTGCAAT